ACGCCGGCCCGCGGCCGACGCCACGGCGATGGTGCGACGCAATTATAGCGAACGCCTCTGTGCGACACGACTCTACTCGACAGCGTGAATTCCGGAATCGGACTCTACTCGGTAACACCGCAACCGGAAGTTAACTCGGCAACGCGACAATCTGCGTTCCGAGGCGACAGCACAATGCTCGGCGACACAATTATAGCAAGCGTGTCTACGCGACGCGATACTAAACAATAATGCAACTGCTATAAGCGTCGTTACGCGACACGACGAGACTCGACAACGTGACTACTCTACGCGTTCCTACGCGACTCTGCTCTCCCCGGAAACCGGAAGTGACTCCCCTGTGGCGAGAGGAACGAGCGCAGCTCGGCCCTCGATTCTCTCCAAACGACTCTAATTTACTTCCACTCGGCAACGAATATTACTCCCCTTACTCTGACTCTCGAAACGCGACAGCTAAGGATTTCCAAGCTCGGGAGGATGGCACGTGGCTCGCGGTTCCGCGGCTCTACACGGCAGCCATTGCGCCGATTCTATCGTTACGGTGCGAGCTGGCTTACGTGCGATCCACCCGGCGACGTATCCCGGTCGGCAGCTTTACAAGCGATGCTCGTCTCACCCTCGTCGTCTCCTTCGTCCTCCCGGCCTCCTCTCGCTAATCTCTCGATAACTTTCTGCGTCTTCGGGCTCGGCCTCGGCGACAGCGATCTCGTACCTCCTTTACACCGTCGGCTCACTCGTCCACAGAAAGAGTGAGGCCCGGGAGCTCCCGGCGGATTCTCGCAGGCTTAGCGCTCCCCCCCTCCTGCGGGGGGAGGTAGTCACGCTGATTGGCTTCCACGTGTCACGGTATCCGCGCGTGCCATACAGGCCCGCGCGGCCTTGAACGTTTCTTGCGGAGTATATGTGCTATAGACGCCACCAAGCAAGCGGCATAATACGCAGTATTGCCGCAAGATGGACTCGTTTTCCGTAAGGAGAAAATGATGCGGATCTCTATAAATAAGCATATGTAAATGAAATCCATCACTTACTCTTAGCTTGATCAGAGTGTGCTCGTAGAGTCTCTGAAAGTGCTTTTTTAAAAATAAAATTATTAATAGTTCCTGTGATGCATATTCATTTCCTGCATTCTGTATTTTGCCGAAACCCGGATATATAGAAATTCTTAGCATTACTCAGCATTACTGAACACTACTGCACTACAGTAGTGTAGTTGCACATTAGTGCTGTAGTGCTGTAGTACAGTAATGCCTCAAAATACTTCTAGTGCTCAGTAGTATTTTTCTACAAGGGCAAGAAGAAGAGAGAACGTGGGAGAGAATATAACGGGAAGAAGAGTGAGTGCGAATATTATGATAAATATAGGACCACAGTGGGTAGGAGAGAGAGCACGAATACTATGGCGAATATAGGACAACGGGTGGGACATATATCGTTATGCGCACTATTTGGCAATGTCGCAATGCATCAAAATTACATTCATGATTGCGAAACATGTCGTATTAACATGTCAAATGTCCTTAAACAAAATCTTTTATTACACTCAGTGACCGAAAGGTTGTTTCGATTCGGTTTCGGTTCCGGTTTAATAAAATATCAAATAAATGTTCCGGTTTCAGTTTCGGTGAAACCTTAAAAATTACGGTTTTTTAACGATTTTTTTCGGTTCTACTTACTTAATTTTATTTATTCCTTAAATTTGTTCTATTAAAAAGAAGAAGGGAGGGAGAGGAGAGGGGGAGAGAGGGCGGTGAGAGGGGGGGGGGGGGGGGGGG